GTGTTATACACAAGACTCTACAACTGAAGTTGAGTAAACAGCCGCATCGGTCTTTAAAGTTTATCAAACGGGTTTGAGTAGAAGCAGAAACTCAATCAAATCAAACTCGTCTGGTACACATAAAAAAAGCGCGGCCCTCTTCCAACCTTGAACCTTGAAAGGGCACATCAGTTGTTTTGGACATATATGGATGAAACCTGAAGTTTATAAAGCAGATTATATTACACACCATCTTCGCAACCGGCTACAAGATACACATATACAAGAGTGGTTTAGTTGCATTAGAAATAATTCTAAGCTGTCTTTTCTTAGCAAATTAAAAAACTAGTTATGAACAAGAAACATACCTTTGTGATATAGATAACTTCGAAATTCGTAAAGCAATAACTCAATTAAGAATCAGTAGCCATAAATTGAATATTAAAACAGGTAGATATTAAAATATAGCCCCCGACCAAAGGTTCTGTCAATTTTGTCCAAAGCATATAGAAAATGAATTTCATGTTGTTATGGAATGTACCAAATATGATGTTATACGTAACAAGCTATTTACATTTCTCGAATCAAGTCTCATAGATTTTAAGAGTCTCGATGTTGGAGACAGATTTGAAAATATCTTTACATGAAACGGTCCCCACAACGCAAAAATAGGTAGATATATAAAGGAATGCTTTGCTATTAGAAAAAATACCGAAACTTGTGATTAGCCCACTTGATTGTAACACTTTATCAACGACTTGTGATATCCCTTATTATTTGAATGATTATGATATAGATATGTTAGGTTTTATTCGACATTAGGTCTTATTCAACACACTTATTTTATTGTTGTTACTCTCTTTATGTAGTTTGCCATACAATGTACCATGTGCATTTGTCGTGCAATAAAGTTCTTCTATGATGTGAATGCATCACGCGTTTCTTCTAGCCCTATGACTGAGCATGGCAAGTAGTAGCGAGTTTCGAAAAAAAAGAACTCGAGTAGGTGTGGCCTTAGTGTAAAAATATATTTAAAAAATCACATTAGTGAGGGGATTGAAACACCAGCAGTGCAGAATTTATTTTCACCCATCACCAAAGTATTCATACATATTTCAGCTAACGGTATGTAATGGTCATCAATTCGTTTCATTCGTGAATTCTTTTCTATAATTATAGTGCCTTTCCATTGTACAGACATGTAGTATGACATAACAAAACTGCCAAACATTGCAAGAGACGTTGAAAATATGTAAAAGAAAAAAAATTATTACATCTGATGTTATTCCATGTCATTTTGCTGGTGTACATAACGTTACACCTTGGTAAGAAGCCATTGACTACAGCATTATCAAACATAACATAACCTTAACCCTATCTAGACCGGGCTTTTTTGAGCATGGTGGGACCGGGGGGGGGGGCTCTTTTGACGCCCCCCTCAGAACTCGCGAACGGTATGTCGTATGACCACCAAATTTTCAGAGGATGATGTACTAGTAAAAATTTATCATATCTGCAATTTTTATGTCGTTATGACGTAATATGACGTCATTATGACGCCATTTATTGGCCAAAACCGTCTAGATAGGTTATTCCCTAAAAACTAAATAGTTTACAACATAACTTTACCAAAAGTGTTTATGACAGAATATTAGGGTGTACTAAGTCTTATGTTGCCCATAGCAACACCGGTGACATCATAAAATGACGTCATGCATATTTAAGATGTCCTCCATTTTGGATCATAAATCTTGAATTTTCAAAAATAGTTTTTTTCATGATAAAGCCTAAAATACATTGTAAACATACTAAAGACCTTCATTTAAACCTTTTTTGTCAAAAGAAATAGAAGTATTGATGAAATTTTAAGGAAAATAACCTGTATATACCTGTTATAATGATATTGTCCGCCATCTTGGATTTTCGACCAATGACGTCATCAAATTAGCATAAATTATTCATTTTTAATTATAAAAATTTACATAAAATTATCTGGGATGTTATTAATATTAGAAACCATGAGTAACTTGACATAAAACCCATAAAATTCTATTGTTGAAACTAAAATTACTAAATTTAGCAAAAAATGCCTGTCAGAAACCTGTTGCCATGGCAACACAAAAAATAATTATCTTATTCCAATAATTGAGAATTGTTGCCAACAATATTTTAGGAAAAGTCACCAAGTTTGGTCGTTCTAGCACTATCCGTTCAGACGCTTGGTGACATCAAAGTTGGCGCGGGCACTTTTAGCCCCCCCCCCCTCGGTCTAGATAGGGTTAAAGGAAATTTCATTCTTAGACTTTAACAAATTTTAGACACATTTTCTTTCTGGAAGAAAAATCTTTGGCTCAGAAGATTAGAAATGATTTCATCACTCAGCGATTGTATGATATTGT